AATCTAGTCTTTACTTTTCTTTCAGGCTGATTGAGGGCGAGAAGCAGCTGAAGAGACCAAAGAAGAAGAAACTGAAATCTCTAGAAAGAAGCAGTGTAGAGGAGTACAATTTTTGTTCCGAGGAAGACGCGGGAGCAGATGATCACATTGATGCCGACGAAGCTGATGAGGTACTCTCCATTGCGTCCGACGAGGGAGAGTACGACATGCAGTGGGATAACTCTCTACGCACGCCTTTTCAACGAAAGCGCAAGTTTTCGAGGTTTTTGGAAGAGGAGGGCGGCGAGAACAAAAGGTTTAGGAAGGAGGATAGCAGGACAGAGTACTTCAGGCCTAGGTTTGGTGGCAAGCTAACTATTTGCACGACCGCAAGGAAGAGCCCAGTCATCTTGCTGGAAAGAGACCGAAGAAAGGAAGCACTCAAGGCCAAGGATCATCACACAGACTGGATGCCCGAGGAGGACGAGGTCCTGTGCGCTGTAGTGCACGAGTATGGTGGAAATTGGCTTCTGGCTAGCGATGCCTTAGAAGGAATGCCAGACGGCGGAGTGTATAGAGGTCGGCACAGGCACCCTGTTAAGTGTAAAGATAGATTTAGGCAGCTCGTAGTCGAGAACGCTGGTACCATTTGCGGGGGGATGAGCAGCGAGAGATTACTATCTGGGGCTGTTATCAAGGTGACAGAGGTATGTGTTACGCTTTCGTTTCATTCTGCAGCTGAAAAATTGGTCTGTTTTTGGTTTGGTTGATGCAGGAAGACACAAAGCGCTTGTTAGAGCTAGTGCAGCGAGTTCCTGACAAGGAGGTGTTGCTACAGAGACACTTTGCTACAGTGCAGAGTGTGAAAGACTCTTACAAGGGGTCCGCAAAGTCGAGGAACGGTTTCGTGAGTAACGTTGGACATCCCCGAAACCTTCCGTTCGTCTCCCTGGCAAATCTCTGTCAAGGTTGCTTGAAGCCACCGTTGCGGCAGGCTTCTCACAAGCAGGGGCACGCGCTGGTAGCGGAGGCTCTATCTCAGACGACTGCCAGTGACAATGGAAAGATGCCTGATGCTTGCAAGGCCGTGAAGAACAATACTGCCAGCGACAACGACAATGAAGACGTCGAGAGCCAACCTCCGCTGGAATTGTCTCTCAGTTTTTCCGGCCCAGAAGAGATGGAGGACTTCCGGCCTGTGAACGTAACGCTCAGACCAGGGAAACCAAAGACCGCCGAACCACCGTCCAGCTCGAGTATCCGGTCGCTCGTCTGTGAAACCCGCTTCAGGTACCTACACAAGAATTGTGAGCTCTAAAATTCTAACTTTACTCATGCACAGGCTAGCATCGCAGATGACACCTTCAATTTGGGCAGCAGCAGCGATCTCTGTAGTTCCCAAGGCAACGCCGAGCCAAAACAACCCTCCAGTGAAACGCCAGCAACCTCCGACCGATGTCGCCAAGCTCCAGAGGCCGGGCAAGCAGCCCCGGCTGCAGCCAGTCTCCAAGCCGAACGGGATGATCGAGATAAGACCAGTGGAGATGAAGACGAGCGTGTCTCCCAGCCAGATAAAGCCAGCCAACCTGAAGAAACCACCACCGACGGCAGTGTTTACAACCACTGGAGCTTCCAGAGTTCATCACGTAGCAACGAAGCCGTCAAGCTCATCGAGTATCCAGCTCGCGAGGCCGTCGAGCAGTGCCAAATCCACAGCGGTGGCAGCAGCAGCAGCAGGATCAACCGCACCAGCAGCAGCAGGAGGAGCGAATTATCCATTTGCTCAGTACTGGCGACCGGACTCCACCGTTTCCAGCTCCAGGCTAGCTCAAGCCCCGGCATCCGAGGAGGCGAGCTATCATCGCAAGCCAGCGGCGGCGGCCAAGAACAAAGGTGTGAGCGAGTGAGAGAGGTGATTTTTTATTATGATTATTTCAGGAGTTTTTCTGGTATCGTCAGCTCAAATTCGTGAAGATCGTGATCACGCTGCTGCTTCTCGCTGGGCCCAGAAATTTTGATCGATCAAACAACACCGAAAGAAGAGAAAGGGAAGAAGAAGACTCGGTAGTAATGAAAGAGACGAGAGATTAATCTTGATTCTTCGTGTACAAGAATGGTAGGTGCTAAGTTGAAACTTTAACCCGCGGTAAAATAACATTTCTGTTTATCCCGTTTAAAACCCAGGCATTTTGGGTCTAGGCAAATATTGTGTGCATTCAAGGAGGGGCAAAGTTTGCGTGTCAAAGCCAGCGATCTCCTCGTTCCATCCACAATTCCCTCTTCGATTCATCCGGTAAGACATCGCATCACGGCGTTGTCAGCGCTGAATTCCTCGCGGTCTCAACCCTTGGCGCTCTACATTTGATTCTCCTCTCTTTCTCGTAGCGCGAGGCCTGCAAGCATGAGCCCTACCTTGACGTCGCCGATCCCGGAATTGCTCGATCCCAAGGCCGATGGAGCGGCCGGCGATGGAGCGATCCAAGTCCAGGAGCAATCGGCGGGGTCCGGGGAGCACGCTAAGAGCGCATCGAAGAAGATTGTGGCGGAGAGCTGCCTGTCCATCATAATTTTGGGGGCTTCTGGGGATCTCGCGAAGAAGAAGACGTTCCCAGCGCTCTTCCATCTCTATTGCCAGGTATGTGAGGATTCGAAGGAAATATGAGGGGATTTTTCGATTGATTGACAATGCTGCAGGGGTTTTTACCATCCCACCAAGTTAAACTGTTTGGCTATGCCAGATCAAAGCTCATCGAGGAAGACTTCCATCGCCGAATTGGAGGGTAAGGATGTTATTGTTCTTTCTTATCTTTCGTATTGCTCTTCCTAAAGCTTTCTTCGCGCTTGTGTAGACATTTGGCGGACTCTGGGAAGTATCCTGCTGATCTTGTAACCAAGTTTCTCGAGCTGGTATGTTTCTCCTTTTCTAGTTTATGTGTTTGTGACACGTTGATCATTCAATCACTTTAGAGCACGTATATCTCTGGCGCTTACGACGACGACGACAGCTTCAGAAAACTTGACAAGATTATTTCCGATTATGAAGCCGGGAAGGATGAGCCGCCCCGCCGACTTTTCTATCTTGCGCTGCCTCCATCGGTCTATCCCCTCGTGGCGGGCATGATACACAAAAACTGCATGAACAAAAGTACGTGATCACATGATTTTCGGCTTTATATATGATCTGATTTCAGGGGGCTGGACTAGAATTGTCATCGAGAAGCCTTTTGGCAAGGATCTAAAGAGCTCTGAAGAGTTGAGTGATCAGCTTGGGAGTTTGTTCTCGGAGGAGCAGCTGTACCGGATTGACCATTATCTGGGAAAGGAGATCGTCCAAAATTTGGTAGGGTTGCAGTCGTTGTCATTCGTATTGATAAGCTCGTGTTCTCCAGCTTGTGATGCGGTTTGCAAATCGCTTTTTTGTTCCACTTTGGAATCGTGATAATATTGCAAACGTCCAGGTATGGGTGACAATGACAAATCATCGCTAGTGTTCTAAATAGCATACATGCAGATTGTGTTCAGGGAGAATTTTGGAACTGATGGTCGCGGTGGCTACTTTGACGAATATGGGTAAGTAAAGCTGGAGAGTTTTTCGCTCCAAATGGAGTTAACTTCTCATTTTCTTCGTAGCATCATTCGGGATATCATTCAAAATCATCTTATGCAGGTATACATGCGTATCCCTTTCGGGCACTTAAATGCACATGCTTTGGCAGGTTCTTTGTTTGGTTGCAATGGAAAAACCATTATCCTTGAGCCCTGAACATGTTCGCGACGAGAAAGTGAAGGTACTGTATCACATTTCCGCACAGAATAAATCTCAAAGCTCACAGGTTCTGCAAGCCATTCAACCAATACAAGACAGCGAGGTTGTTATTGGACAATACGAAGGCTATAGAGACGATCCCACGGTTTCCGATGAGTCATTGACACCCACATTCGCTTCGGTGGTGCTGCGAATCCACAATGAGCGTTGGGATGGTATGGCAGTTTACTCGCAATCTTCTGTCGGTACTAACTCTCTTCTTGTGAAAAGGTGTTCCTTTCATCCTAAAAGCTGGAAAAGCCTTGGATACTCGTAAGGCAGAGATTCGTGTCCAATTCAAAGACGTCCCGGGGGATATTTTCAAATGTAAGCTTTGACCCCTGACACTGTTTTTATTCACTCAAAGACGATACTTCGTTTAAATATACAGGCAAAAAACAGGGACGAAACGAGTTTGTCATGCGATTGCAACCTTCAGAAGCCATGTATATGAAGCTGACGGTAAGTTTTCAACCTTTTTAGCTCCTCCACCTTTAGCTTAATCTGCCAAAATTTCGATCACAGGTGAAGCAGCCAGGTCTGGAGATGTCCGCAACGCAAAGTGAGCTAGACCTCTCTTACCGCCAACGCTACCAGGACGTGGTTATTCCCGAAGCCTATGAGCGCTTGATTTTGGACACGTAAGAAGAACTTTCAGAGTCTTTGCTTTTCCGCCCATGTATTTATTTATAACCTCCAGGATCCGCGGAGATCAGCAACACTTTGTCCGGAGGGACGAACTACAGGTAAGCGTAACTATCCTCGCACAGGAATACTTCCTAACTCGTTCAAACGGACAGCTTTCGTGGGAGGTATTCACGCCATTGCTGGAGAGAATAGAAGCTGGAAAAATCCCGGTGATTCCATACAAGCAGGGAAGCAGGGGACCCCCCGAGGCCGACAAGCTCGCGGTAGAGCAAGGCTACGTGAGAACTCATGGCTACATTTGGATTCCACCGTCACTCAAGGATTAAGACCCATCCATCGATGTCAGTAAACTATGCACTTATATTGCTCGATCAAAACCAAGTTCTTCCTTGAAGTTACGCTCGTGAGATGACTGATCGTTCGCTAGAGAATGACTGGTCTTCTCCTTGTTAGCTTCAGGTCCTCGAATAAACTAAAAAAGTCGAAGATCAAAAGCTTTTCGTGGCCTACCACGAGTTTTTTCAAACCAGCTACGTATACAGTTGCAAACTTGGGAGCTTATAGGCGAAGACAACAGTAAAATTTAAAAAGCTTCTTCGCGGACGGATCCACAACACGGCATTTCGGGCTTAAAATTCGCGCGCACACGCTGGATCGATGGTAGGATAGTTGGGAATGGGTAGCTCGCAGAGTGTTTCGGCAGGGAGTAGCGGCAGCTCGTCATACCAATCGGGAGTCCCCGAGGAGGAGAGCCTGCCAAATCATGAGTATAGTCATCCGTCACAGGATTACGATTTCGATCATGAGCACAGTCATCCGACTCAGGATTCCGATTTCAATCACGAGGATAGTCATCTGAGTCAGGATTACGACCTCGCATTCGATCTGCAGTTGGCTGAAGTAATGGAAGCCTCCCGAGCCGAAGAAGTGTTTGCTGCCTGGGAGATCGAAAACCTAGAGGAGCGGATCCATGCAGTGCTGCTGGCCAAAGTCCTGGAGCGACAACAAGAAGAAGAACAAAGGATGCGCAGAGAAACTTGTCGAATTTGCACCGAAGACAGGCTTTCGCTGCAGGAGATGATGACCGTGCAACCCTGCGAGCACCGGTTCTGCATCCAGTGCATGAGGCACAACGCCGAGGTGAGGGTGAAAGAAGGAGCTGTGGAGGTGCGATGCCCGTCAGAGAATTGTCTCGCGGTTCTGGACTATGAAGCTTGCACCGAGCTGCTGTCCAAGGGGAGCATCCAGCTGCTGGAGAAGAACAGGGTGGAGCAGAGCATTCCCGCGGAGTTCAAGATCTACTGCCCCTACAAGGAGTGCTCCGAAGTCATGGACAAGCGCCTGCTCGACGCTGCTGTGCCATCCTCTTCAAGCTCTTCGAGTTCTCCAAAAAGTTGTTCCAAGAGCTCTAAGAAGAGTTCTTCGAGTTCTCCAAAAAGTTGCTCCAAGAGCTCTAAGAAGAGTTCTTCGAGTTCTTGGGGAGCTTCTTCGCCTTCTGCGTCTCTTCCAGCTTGGACCTCGTCTGCTCCTGTTCCCTCGTCATCAGATTCCCTTCCTTCATCCTCGGCGACTTCGACGACTCAATCCAACGCTCGTGCGTCGTTCATGGTCAAATGCCTCGCGTGCGGCAATGACTTCTGCCTCAAGTGCAAGGTGCCATGGCACTTTGGCATGTCCTGCCCCGAGTTTGAGAAGGTCCCGGCCGTGCTGCGCGACTTTGACGGGGTGAAGCTCTACAAGCTGGCGTCGAGGAACAAGTGGAAGCAGTGCAGCCAGTGCGGCAGCATGATCGAGCTGACGCGGGGCTGCAACCACGTTGTTTGCCGGTAAGCCATCGTTTGATCATTCCCTTGACCTTTTTTCTCTGGGGTTTTTCTTTTTCAGGTGTAAGTATGAGTTTTGCTACCTTTGCAACAGAAAGTGGACGTCGGACCATGCGGCTGCCTCCAAATGCCCATTTTGGGATGAAAAGAAGCTCTTGGACCCGAAGAAAAGCATGTAAATTATAACAAACTACTAATATTTGAAGTGATTAAGCATTAAAACGTACACTATGTTCACAATCATATGGTAAACTTTTATTAAAGCAAAAGAATTTAATTGTGCATGGTTATTAAAAGAAATCTTGTCCGTTAAAAAACCCAAACGAAATCTGGACCACAGAAAAAGTGCTGAATGAAGCAGCCACATTAGGGTGGACACTTGGCACCCTGTCGGGCGACTAGGTCTGGCCATGTCAAAAAGGGGGAAAATGGGAGCACCAAGAAATTTTAGGTCGCAATGCATGCTCTCCAGCCGCGCCACAGCTGCGGTTGCGGCCACACTGCCATCGCCACGCAGGGATCGTCCGCCATCGGGCACTGGAACTGGAAGAGATCGCGGGTGAGGTACGAATTTCGCAAGAAGGTCTATGGCGTCGTCCGGCTCCGGCATTGCATCGCCCGGGCCTCAAGCACAGCCAGCGGCAGCAGCAGCGGCAGCGAGGAAGATCATCCATTGCCAGCTCCAGACGGGGAGGCTATCGCGGGCAAGAGGAAGAAAGAGGGCAGCGACCTCACACTGGTCGTGTCGGTGGGCGAGAATTTGAGGCCCGGGCACGTCTATGTCCGCCATGGAGGGGCCGTGGCGCCGCTCACGGTGGGAGAGATCCGCAAGGCGGCATTGGCAGACAAGCAAAGTTTTTCTAAGCGAGAGAGCCCTTTGGAACACGAGGCTTGGGAGCTTCTCAGGTCTGCCATGGTTTACTACTGTGGGACTCCAGTCGGGACGATCGCTGCCAATGATCCCACCGATGGCCACCCTTTGAACTACGACCAAGTTTTTATCAGGGACTTTATCCCGTCCGCCATAGCTTTCCTGCTCAAGGGCGAGACAGACATTGTCCGGAATTTTCTTCTACATACGCTCCAGCTCCAGGTATGTTGTTCTTCTTGAACTTATGGAGCTCCATTTTTTCTGTTTGTATCAGAGCTGGGAGAAGACTGTGGATTGCTACAATCCCGGCCAAGGACTGATGCCCGCCAGCTTTAAAGTGAGAACTGTTCCTCTCGAGGGTGATCCAGCAAATGGCACGGAGGAGGTTTTGGATCCAGATTTTGGTGAAGCTGCCATTGGCCGAGTTGCTCCTGTCGATTCCGGTGAGAATAGAAGAAAGCTTCGCGTGCAACCATGTGGTTTAACTTCCATTTAATTCTCTAAACAGGATTGTGGTGGATTATTCTTTTGAGAGCTTATGGCAAAAGCACAGGGGATTACACGTTGCAAGAGAGGGTCGACGTCCAAACCGGCATGAAAATGATCCTGAAGCTTTGCCTTGCTGATGGCTTCGACATGTTTCCGACTTTGCTCGTGACTGATGGTTCGTGCATGATCGATAGAAGGATGGGAATTCATGGCCATCCCCTCGAAATACAGGTATGCCACCCTTCTTGAAAGCTTTCACTTTCCTGACTAGTTTTTCTATCTTTTGAGGCTCTGTTTTACTCTGCACTAAGGTGTGCTCGGGAAATGCTGATCTCGGAAGACAGCGCGCTTGATCTCATCAGGACCCTCACTTCTCGACTCAGTGCCCTGTCCTTTCACATCAGAGAGTATTACTGGGTGGACATGGGAAAGCTCAACGAGATTTACCGCTACAAAACCGAGGAGTATTCTCACGAGGCAGTCAACAAGTTTAACATCTATCCGGACCACCTCTCGCCATGGCTGGTGGACTGGATTCCCAACAAAGGCGGCTACCTGGTTGGAAATCTTCAACCAGCTCATATGGACTTTCGGTTCTTCTCTCTTGGCAACCTGTGGGCGATTGTGAGCTCTTTAGCCACGCCAGAACAGGCAGAAGGCATACTCGATCTCATCGAAGCTCGCTGGGTGGACTTCGTCGGCAACATGCCTATGAAGATATGCTATCCGGCTTTGCAGGGAGAGGAGTGGCGTATCATCACCGGAAGTGATCCCAAAAACACGTAAGCTCGTTCTTTTGGCATGTTTTCTTCACTATCCTACCTTGACATTTTGGACTTGGAGACAGACCATGGTCGTATCACAACGGAGGTTCCTGGCCGACTCTCTTGTGGCAGGCAAGCTATCAAGCTCTTCGCGAGTAGATTCTGGCTAATGGTTTTTTCTATGTTGCTTATAGCTTACTGTGGCTTGCATCAAGATGGGGCGCCCGGAGATGGCTGAGCGTGCCATTGAAGTTGCGGAGAAACGGATCTCCAGAGACAGATGGCCAGAGTATTATGACACAAGAGCAGCGAGGTTCGTAGGGAAGCAGGCTCGACTCTACCAGACTTGGTCCATTGCAGGCTATCTTGTTGCCAAGATGCTTTTGGATAAGCCGGATGCTGTGAAAATCTTGACGTGTGAGGAGGACTTGGCGTTGCTGGAGGCCATGTCGTGCTCTTTGGATGCCAATCCTCGCATTAAGAGAAAACGCAAGCTGAAGTCTACCAGAATTATAGTGTAAATTCAATGTTTGACAAAGAATGTTAATCTAAAGTAAATATATTATAAAATAGGAGCCATTCGCACTTGCTCTTTATTTATGAAATGTGTTAAATTTAAGTGATGAATACATTCGCACTATGTTTTAAAATAAAGTAAATTACTTTACATTAAAATTTAGGATATTTTTTTAAAACATTTTGATTCGCACATAGTGCTAACTTTAACACAATGTTTTCACTTTTTAAAACATTCAGACTGATTTTAAAAGAGGGGGGCTTCTTTTAAACTTAAAATATTTTTAAAAGGAATCTCCGAGATTCTCCAAAGATTCCAGTGCCCTGATTAGGGCGCTTCAGTTTTTTGCTGCGAGCTGCCGTGAGCTCAGGCATTTTATGGCAGGGGAGCCGACAGCAGTCATTGCCCTAGGGTTAGATCCTGTTGGGGATTTGGTGGAGGAAGGAGGAGTAGCTGATTTTGGGGAAGGAGGAGCAGTCGATTTTGGGGAAGGAGGAGCTGTAGGGTTTAACGAGGAGATGGTGCGGGTTCAAGGCAGTGGCATCCAGTGAGGAGGTGCTGCTCGTGGAGTGAGGAGCAACCGTGGTGGAGGAGCATCCGGGGCTGGAGGACGAGCACCAGGACCAGCTGTTGCTCGAGGAGGCAGGCCGCCTCGAGGCCGAGGCCGTGGAGATGCCGATCTCTCGAATCTTGGCCTCAATTAGGGCGGACTTGGAGCTGGAGCGCAGGGAGCTGTAGCACAGGTTGCTGGAGCACGGGGAGCTGTAGCACAGGGAGCTGGAGCCTCTCCCCCAACGGCTTCTAGAACTCGATTGTTCTTTGAATTCTCTTCTACGACAACTAATGAGGTAAGCTTCAAACCGAGTTTAGCTCAGATTCTAGGAGAGTGGTTTCAGGTTTAGGGTGGCGAAGTAGGTGATCTGGAGCACGAGCAGTCACCAGGACAGCAGTACATGCAGTTCTGGTTTCATAACTTGGAGGAGCAGGACGACGTTGCCGTTGAACAGGGGGTGGAAGAAGATGATCGGGGTGATGAAGAGGAGGGCGATGACGACGAGGAAGGGGAGGCAGGTGTTCATGTCGCGAAGAAAATGAGGAAGAAACGTGGGAAAAATTGGGGAGATGATGAGACGGCTTCCCTCATTGATTTCAAACGGGAAGATCACCTTGGAAAGATTGGGGCAATGCGGGGCAGCGAGGAGATGACGTTGACAACAACCGATCGCTGGAAAAGGAATGCGAAGAAGATGCAGGTTGCTGGCATGCAGCGGGACTGGAAGGCTTGCCGGACTCGCTGGAACAACCTTTGCAACGACTACAAGTGTGTTTGTGATTTCCAGAGGAAAACTGGAAACCCCAACTACTTTAGCTTGAGCCACGAGGATGCGAAGCGACTTATGCCGGTGAAGCTGAACTTGAAGGTGTTCCCAGTCGAGTACTTCAACATCATGGATGAATTCCTAGCGAAGCAGGCATCGACATCTCCAACATTTCTTGCTGATTCAGATGCTCCGGAAGAGGAAGCTTACGAGGAGGATCCCGCAGATGGTGTTGATCCTCCTGGAGATGCTACACAAGTGCCAGGGAGTTCAGGGAAGCGGAAGAACCCGAAGAAGGCCAAGAAAAGCATGACAACTTTACTTGCTGAGGGGAATGCTCTCACTGCTGCTCAAAATGAGTAGAATCTAGCGTGGCAAAAGGAGAGCATTATTTGCATGAAGGAGAATAGCCTGGCTGAGAAGGAAAAAGCTGCAGCTGCAATAGTTTTAGTTGGAGCCATCTCCAACCTTGCAAACTCCATCTCCAACTTCTTGAACGGGGCTGCATCCAGGAGTTAACCGTCTTGTTTTCGGGATTTTAAGGGGACATTAATTATTAATATTAAACTAAACTATGTTTAGGCTATGATATTTTAGATTTTTCTAACCATTTTTTTTTTCAGGATCTTGCAACAGTTCAACCCGAGGAAACAAAAGATGGTTCCAGGGAAAACCAAAGAGATGCTCAGGAGGAACATGGTTCTTTCAACAATCAAGCAGCACTCATCGATGCCTTATTGAGGAACAAGGTAATCTTGCTTATTTTGCAAGTTTTGTTTCTCGCTGTGGAGGCTTTTCAATCCATTATCGATGACAAGACCCTGGTGGCACAAACTCTTCCAGACGAGGAGGAGGACGAAGACAAGCTTTGTCGAGCAGTCTTGTCCAAGCGACTTGACGCCGGTCTCTGGTGGGTGAAGCCGCGGTGTATGACAACATGGAGCAAGTTCTTCATGGAGTTGTATGACCCTGGTCGATGGAAGCGGAAGCTAAGGATGGAGAAGAAGACGTTCTTCGGGCTTTGTGGCATTCTGGAGGCTGAAATTTGCAAGCAGAATACAAAGTTTAGGAGAGCAGTGCCAGTGGATGTTCGTTTGGGGGTCACCTTGTACAAGTTGTTCAAGAACACCGACTACTCCGACCTATCTGACAAGTTTGGGATTGGGGAAGCCACTGCACATGACATTGTGGTGCAGACAACTGCTGCAATCGTCAAGTGCCTCAGGTACAAGATTCGATTCCCAGAGACAGCAGCAGAGGTTAGAGCTGTGGCGGCAGATTTTCAGCAAATCACCAAGACTCGTCTCCCTAGGCACACATTTTGAGATTATTCGACCAATTAGCCCGGATGGTGAGGGCTACTTTGATCGAAAGCAACGGTACTCGGTGATCTTGTAGGGGGTTTGTGACGCTCAGAAAAGGTTCTTGAGTATCTATGCAAGCTGGCCAGGTAATTACTTTTATTTTTTTTCTTCTATACATCTAATTGGTTTTTCTTTTTTTCCAGGGAGTGTTCATGACATGAGGGTTTTTCAGAACTCCAGGCTATGCCACAAGATCCAAGCAAGGGAATTACTCACAGTTCCTCGGGAGTTTGCTTTTGACGAGTGGATTGAGCCATACCTGGTGGGAGACAAAGGCTACCAGCTGCAGCAGCACTTGATGATCCCTCACTTAGGTAAGCTGATTGTTTTTTTTTTTTTTCAATTATTCATTTGAAACAGGTTCCCTGTTGACGGTGACTGAGGCAGAGTACAACTAGCAACACCATCTGGCCCAGATTGTTATTGAACAAGCATTTGGACTCCTGAAAATGAAATTCAAATGCTTGGATCAAAAACAAAGGATCAAGCCGAAGTACCTGCCGAACATCATCAAAAGTTGTTGCATCTTGCACAACTTCTTGATTGATGTTGGTGAGACAAACATCAATGCCGAGATCAAAGCATGGGAGAAACACATTCAAGCCTTGAAGGAAGCAGAGATTTTCAAAGATTACGGGGATCCTATTGTGGCTGAGGGAGAACCACAGGAAGATTTGCGTGGGCCGGAGGATGCACGGGAGGTTCGAGAGAACCTAACCGACTTCTTATGTTTGCGGCGTCGTAGAACTGCGTGATTGCTATGTTCAAGTTTAATATTTGAAATTTGAAATTTGAAATTGAAATTTAGGGTTAGCATTTCAAATTTGATTTGAATTTGAAATTTTAAAATATTTTAAAAAATGTTTGAATGCTATTTTGAAGACATTTTAAAGTAAGTCAAGTGCGAAGTCACTAGTGTTTTACATTAAATTTTTACCACAAAAACTTATGCAAGTGGGAATGAAAGTGTTTTAAAATGCATACTTAAAGCTTAAAACAACCTAAAAACTACTGAAGTGCGAATGCAACAGTCACAAAAATTAAAATACACATTTTAAAATATTTTTATATAAAGCACAAGTGCGAATGGCTCCTATAACAATTATATTTAACAATTAAAAAATTATTCATTTTACATCATTTTTTACAAATCAATAAGATTTTTTATTAATTAATTTAATTTAATTTTTTAAAAACTTATGTTATAATGCATTCAAAACATTATAAAATGAATAGTGTGATATATTTTAGTTTATCGTTTCTACTAGTTTACTATTTTAATATATACAGTTTCACTTTATATACATAAAAATTATTTTAATCTTCAAAATACAAAAATGTCAGTTTATGAGAATATCCATATCCCATTTATCGAAATACATAAAAATGATTTAGTATATAAATTTATGAGTATAGATATTGTAACTTTGCTATCTAAATTACCACATCAATTAAATTTGATTATGTATATAATATCATGTGTATGTGAATATAAAGTTGATGCCCATTAGCAAAAATTCTAACAAGACTATATAAATTATTAAACAGTCCTAACTTGAGTGGCTCAAATTTGTTAAATTCATATGTGTAGATACGTTATATCAAAATATTTAGTAGACTCCCTTGTAAGTAAGCAATGTAATTTTAACACCATCACAACAACCTTATTAGAATATCTCTAAAAAAAACTAATAAAAATTATTAAACACTAATTAAATAGTGGTTTTTGATGAAGCACAACACCTTACACATATGGAGGAATTTCTTGAAGTTATGTCATATATCATCCCAACCAGAATATTTAACAACTATTAAATCCACAAATGAGCATCATTTGTAGACAATCTTAAAAATAATATTTAAACTTGTATACCCACTTGATTTTCAGTTAATTGTACCAAGCTCTTGGCTATCATGTTGATGATAAAAAATTACTTTGTATTAAAACCCTACATATGACAAATGTATCTTATTTTCATCGGCCGAGGCAACAAAGAACTTCTCTGCATCAACCACAACCTTGAGTAGGGTGCACGAGTTGGCAATGCTAAACACCCTGCGGCCAGTCATGCCCGGCCGGGGTCCTTCCCATCTTCAAGTTCACTGGGAGAGGGACCACCTTGAAAAAGCGAAAACGAGCAGAGGTGCTCACGTTCATCCTCAACGTGCCTCCAACATCCAGCAGGAATGGCGCGCATGCTAGGGTATGATCTAGGCAAACGAAATCATATCTCTCGACACCCATGGCCTCAACACACATCATCTTGGAGTTGTCAAGCAGCAGGTACTCCTGCTCGAGTCCCGAGAAATAGCCACTGTCTTCAAAGCTCTTGGCAGAC